TTTTCGATCAAATCTTCGGATTTACACCTACAATTTATGTTTTGGTTTTTTTTAGTTATTTTAAATTTGTTTTATTACATAGAGATTCAGTACGTTTGCCATATTATAATCCATTCTTATTCCATAAGTAAATACAACAGACATACGTATATGCACAAAACTAAATAATTGATACGACAGACATTCGTACATGCACAAAACTAAATATTATAATTTATGTATACCAACTACAATGATTATTCATCATAAAATTCAATACTTAACATACTTATTCTCTACCTTCAAACTAAAAAAACTAATCATATTTTTTCAATATAATGATTCTACTTACAAACTAAAACAATACATATCACATTTTGAACATATTATATAAGACACAATCCAAAATTTTAGCTTACAACATAAAAAACGTATGTTCCCGCACAAAGTGCGGGTCAAAATCTAGTTTAGTTTATTTGTGGGTAATACTTTTACCTTTACCATTAGATTATCCTTGATTGGGAGAACATTGCTTTACTGAATGTGACTTTGACCTTTCTATCGTTGTTTTATTTAGAATTATGATTTACAGATTTGATCAATTCCCACTTTCTCCCTTGTGGCTAAGATCCATCAAGGATGCGGGATTTAAGATCCATCAAGGATGCGGGATCCTAGATCCGTTCGGATCCACTAAAAAAAAATTAGGATGTCTGGAGAGTCTGGTTCTGGATAAAAATAGTAAAATCTATGATCCGTGAAAAGAGAATCTGGATCCGGCTAACAATGTATTTTAAAGTCTGAATATCGGATACAGGCGCATTAAATATATTAAAACATATATATATTTTAGGGAAAATTGAAAATAAAAGATATTTTTTGGGACTTTGTCCGTCTACAATTTTAATTTAAAATATTACATTTTTCAAAAAAATTTGTGAAACAAGTGAAGAGCAAAGAAATAAAACTTTATATAAAGGGGGCAATTGTTGTTTGTTAAGCGATAGATTTATAAAATATGTTCTACTTTATTCAGAAGACACTTTCTGCATTTTT